TCCCTTAGGCAGGCATCGGTACTCATCTCATTGGTTTTTCGCTGTGTTAGTCCTCTGCTGGATGAACAAATCGAATCAGCTCTCAAGAAGGTGGACTGAGCATCAGAGCCAGCACAGGGAAAACAGTGAGAGGACACAGCTAGGAGAGGGAAGAAGAGTTCATCCTGTTCATCCCTTCCATCTTCCTTCTCTCTCCTCCTCTCACTAGACCCTTGCATGGGCTCTGGAATTCACTGTACCCTTCTGCAAGCCATCAAAACTCACTAAAGCAGCAGAAAACTACTCTAGTAGAAAACAAACAGAAAAACCCAAGAGCATTCTGCTGAGCTACTTAGTTAAATCTGTTTACAGAGGGTTCAATGTCTGCCAGAGCCAGCACACAGAAGGGGGGAGGAGAGGGACAGTTCAAAGGAGAAAGCAAGACCAGCATCCTTGGCTGGCAACAAGCCGTTCTGCCTGCTCCACTGCCTGGCTAGCTGTAGCCTAGGTGAGTGTATGTTGGGCCATACTGTGACACCACTAAAGGATAGGGAAAGTAAATTGGCGTGTAAACTTAACTCCACACCCCCTATATTTCAGAAGGCTCAAATTACACGAAACCATAAGGCAAATTAAGCCTTTAGTCAAGGAAAACGTGTTAATTAATCTCCTAAGGGTTTGGTGAGGGATTGTTTACAAAAACGAAAGCATTTGCCGTAAGTGAGATTTGACTCAAATCTCAAAAACGACTTCTGTTATAATGATGATGTTTAGTGCTCAGCCTCCAGAACTGGGATTCAACAACCTGAGTTGGGCATCTAAATTCCTTCACACTGGCGAGTGAGGAATTAAAAAGTACATGCTGTTCTGTAAGCTGCTACACAAAGAGAGAACTTTTTCCAAAATTGTTGATTATTTCATGATCAACAGGGATCTCTGGAGAAGGTATGAAACCCCTATCATCACCACAGCCTCTGAGGGAGCGCCCTCAGCACTGCCCGAAGAAACCCTCTTCACCGCTCCCACTGAAGCTACACCACTGCACAGAAAGAAACTCCGCTGTGCCAAAAGAGCAGACTCTCTGGCCGTGCACAGGTTCAGCACTTTGGACACTTTTTTCATGTTTGGATCTAAGCAACACTTGAATTTAGGCACTTGAAGTTCTCTTGAAAATTCACTGTCAACACATTATGGCAACAAGGCTAATTCCACTATTTAAACTCTAAAGAACGTTTTTCACTGCTAGACTGTAGAGCGCTTTCTAAAATCAACTGTGTTTTACGCAAAAGGAATAGAGGTACCGAAACACAAAAAGTCTCTTTCACCTTCCCCTGCCAGCGACATAGCCAGGAGCAGAACCACAGCCTCCTCAGCCCCACGCTAGCACGCCCCCAAGGTCGCTCGGATGTTGTGCACCTCCACCTGCCCCCAGCTCCTTTCAGCCTCCGTACGTTTCACCACAGGGAACTGGGGACAACCACCACGCGATGACAGTGAGCGAGTGGCAGCTGACAGCACTGATGACAGCAATCACGAACGCTGCCTATGCCTCACACCTCCGTACTTTTGCTGAGCGATGCCCACAGTAACGTTAAGCACGTGAGCTGTTGCGTACCTGTGCTTCCGCACTGCCAATAACACACAGCTCCTCAGGATTATCCCCTTCCCTCTGTGCTAAGCAGCTAGCACTGCAAAGTCCATTAACGCACGAGAAGTTGCTCATCGCTGTCTGACACGCTGCTGTGGCATGCCCGGCAGAGCTCAGCAATGGAACGGCACGTTTTGTCACCTAAGCAGCATCGGCGTAACTCAGAGGCCAGGCCTGCTGCCTCACCGCCTGCCATGTGCGAAGGCACTGTGGCAGCCCTCAATCAGGGTGGACAGACATCAAGCAGGAGAGATGCATTGGACCATCGTACCAGCTCCAGACAGATGCACAAAAATATTAACTTGTAGCAAGGCACATTTTTGTTTCCAACTCACTGTATCTGGGAAAAACTCTTGTTTTGCAGATCTGTAATTTTAATCTCCAACGCTGCTCTTAACCTCCCCAGGATGCCTCGAGTTTCAAGCTGTACATGAAAAGGCATGAGTTCTGGAGCATGCTGGGTTTTTCTCCACTACAGCTACTGTACCCCAGGGGACACATTCAGTTTATGAAACTTATCATCATTTTTAGGATAACTAGATCTTCACCGTAGGGCAATCCTGAAAGGGGGAGCTTCTAAGGAAACGCACAGGGCTGGAGCTGTGTACATCTGTATGCAGTACAGGAAGTCCACTCACTGTTATCCTGATTTGAAGATGAACACAGCCTGAAAAGATCGCAGAGGTTAATGACTACCTCTGACGATGGCCCCCAATTACTCCTTCCCTGTGTCAGGGTTTCAGAGTCTGCAATACACATGCCTGTTTTAAACCCCTTATTTTAGTCTGCGTACAATATGCACACTTCCCAGTACGTGGGTTTCTCACTGTCCCTGCTGATCTTATTATGACACCTTCTGAATCCTGCAAGATTCCATCAACTTCAAGTCCTTAAACTGAGGGGGACTAAAAACTGCTAGGTTGTTACATCTCTTAACCCCATGCCCTCTGTATTTTGTTTATAAGCTAACACGTATAGAGACACATACCAGTGATTAAATCTGCATTTCAACCCTCCAATTACTTCACAAAGAGATCACTTGAGACAATTCAATTTAGGCTTCACAAAGAGGCTGTCTATAAATCAGGATCTAAGAACTAGAAAAGCTACTTATCGGTTCACCAGAGGGTGTTTGAACCTTAAAGTACTTGGTATATATCTTCTCACCACCACAACAGAAATCAGTAAGAATCTTCAGACCTTGTTGGTTATTTTAGTGTCCAGAAAAAGCAGGGTAGATAAAATAAAAGTTTTCATTAGCAGGAAAGCAATGTTTATGAAAGTCGAAACATTAAAATAATTTCAACTAAATAACAAATTCTCTTAATCACTACATTATATTTTATTTCCTTGATGTCATACTGGTACTTCCCTTCCTGATGTCTCTAGGACATCAAGAGCATATACGGCATTAATCTTTGCAATAGGATTTTCTTCCCTCCTGCCTGGTGCATGTTTGCACACTGAACAATTTGTTTGCACAACAGGCGTAGTGGAAGAGCTAAAGAGAAAAGTTACAATACACCTATGTTTCACACTGAAAACTCAAGGGCTATCCAACATTAGTAAATACAGATACCTTCTCCTCCCTCTGCTTATTTGTATTAAGAGGTGATCAAATCACAGCACTTACCAAGTTAAAATAATAAAACACAGTTAGCTCTTTGAAAAAAAAAGTAAGCCACTAAGAACAAAGAGTTTATCCTCCCCATTGTTCCCCTCCCCTTCAAATCAAGACAAATTTGCTGTAAGGATGAATCATGACAGAGAAAGAGGCAAAGGCGAGTCAGAATTCACACCAATTCCTACATCATTATGTAAAAGAGAGGTTTTACTTCAATTCTTACCTCCTCTTTAGTCTCTTTAAACGAAGACTTTAAAGATCGACTTCTGCAGTCCTGGGGCTTGGTTTCTTCCTGCTGCCCAAAAAGTTCCTCGATTGTCTTTGTATCAATCTGATACTGTGGTCTTGCAGCAATCGTCCAGATATTGTTTTTACCACGGACTTGTTCTTCAGGGATAGTTTTCCAGAAAAAGCTCCGCATTCGTTTTTTTTTGCCGTGGTTGTCATGCCCATTTACCAGCTGTGGTGGCAGAGGTACGTTTGGCCCAGGCAGTGGCGGAGGGGGTGGTGGTGGGGG